GGAGCTTCACTCCCATGGAATACCATCTGGGGCATCCAAAAAAAAAATGAAAAAGAGCCAACCAACCATGGGAGCTTCACTCCCATGGAATATCATCTGGGGCATCCCAAAGAAAAAAACAAAAAAGAGCCAACCAACCATAGGAGCTTCACTCCCATGGAATACCATCTGGGGCATCCAAAAAAAAAATGAAAAAGAGCCAACCAACCATGGGAGCTTCACTCCCATGGAATACCATGTGGGGCATCCCAAAAAAAACCCAAAAAAGAGCCAACCAACCATGGGAGCTTCACTCCCATGGAATGGGGATCCCCACGGGGATCTTGCCATGGTTCTTGCCAAAACATGCCATGAGTTGTTGGAACCTCCTTGGGTTCCTGTCGCTCGTTGAGCACGGAGAGGCTGTTTTGGCAAAGCCTCGGTTAAAATCCACTTGTCCGAATCAATAATCGTAAGATTTTTATCTTGGGTTATTTTAAGGACGATGCTACGTCCTCAGAATGCAGAATCTGAACTGGGAATGCAGCTTGGGTTTGTTTGGTGGGTCGCTACGGGCTGGGAATACAGAGGCTTAGCTGGGAATGCAGCTTGGATTGATTTTTTTTTTTTTTGGGGTTGGTGTTGCTTAAAGGAAACAGCTCTGGAACCTCTTATTTTTTTTTGTTTGGTTTTTTTTTTTTCTCTCTCTCCCAGTACCCCCAGAAAAACCAGTCAACATCACTTGCTGGTCCAAAAACATGAAGGATCTGACCTGCAAGTGGGCACCAGGGGCAGAAGGGGAGACCTTCTTGGACACCAACTACACCCTTAAGTACAAGCTCAGGTGGGTGTTCACCTTCATTCTGCTTGTTTTCAAAACCACTGGTCTGGGATTTAATGGGAAATAGGGAATGATGAGCCTGATGCCTCCCAGTTGGCATTTGGGGGGTTGGTGCTGGTGTGATGAGTTTCCTCAGGTTTTGTGGTGCTGGGGAGGAGGAGGGGGAGGAGAAGTTGGTCGTGGTGGAGTTGGGAGCCACTGGGTGAGCCATAACCCAATGCCAGTGGTGTGGAACAGTGGATAAATGAGCCCTGGGATGGGATGGGAGAACACCCACAGTACTCATCACCTGCCCACAGGTGGTATGGCCAGGACCACACCTGCCAGGAGTACCACACAGCTGGGCCCTACTCCTGCCACATCCCCAAGGACTTGGCTCTCTTCACTCCCTACGAGATCTGGGTCGAGGCATCCAACCGACTGGGGGTGGCTGTCTCTGACGTGGTCATGTTGGACATCCTCGACGTGGGTGAGTGATGCCCACCTGGTGTCACCTCCAGGTGGGGAGGGACTGGTGTCACCTCCAAGTGGAGATGGGGTGGTGTCATCTCCAAGCCTGGGGAGGGAGTGGAGTCACCTCCAAGTGGAGATGGGATGGTTTCACCTCCAAGTGGAGACGGGGTGGTGTCACCTCCAAGCCTGGGGAGGGAATAGTGTCACCTCCAGGTGGGGAGGGAGTGGTGTCACCTCCAAGTGGGTAGGGAGTGGTGTCACCTCCCAGTGGGGAGGGAATGGGGTCACCTCCAAGCCTGAGAAGGGACTGGTGTCATCTCCAAGTGGAGAGGGACTGGTGTGACTTCCAAGTGGAGATGGGATGGGGTCATCTCCAAGTGGGGAGGGACTGGTGTCACCTCCAAGCCTGAGAAGGGAGTGGTGTCACCTCCAAGTGGAGATGGGATGGGGTCACCTCCCAGTGGGGAGGGACTGGTGTCACCTCCAAGCCTGAGAAGGGAGTGGTGTCACCTCCAAACCTGGGGAAGGGGAGCTCGGGTTGTTCAGCGCCGGGAGGATGGGAGTGGAGGCAGCAGGAAATGGGCGATCTGTGAGCAGAATTGCTCCTAATCGAATTAGGCTCTTTGCTCCGAGCTGGGTTTTACATCCTTTAACCCTCGCGGTCCCTGCCCTGTGCCCGCAGTCACCACGGACCCACCGCTGGACGTGCACGTTAGCCGAGTGGGCGACCTGGAGGACCAGCTGAGCGTTCGCTGGAGCTCCCCACCAGCCCTCAAGGATTTCTTCTTCCAAGCCAAGTACCAGATCCAATACCGGGTGGAGGACAGCTCGGAGTGGAAGGTGAGCTCAGCATCACCCACGCGGTCGCTGGGGGATGGTATGGGATGCTTGACCAAGACATCTCCTCCTCCCTTTTCCAGGTGGTGGATGATGTTGGCAACCAGACATCCTGCCGACTCGCCGGGCTGCGTCCCGGCACCGTCTACTTCGTCCAGGTGCGCTGTAATCCCTTCAGCACCTACGGCTCCAAAAAAGCAGGAATCTGGAGCGACTGGAGCAATCCCACCGCAGCCTCCACCCCCCGCAGCGGTGAGTGCCCCTCGGGGGGCTGTGCTCCCTCAACCGTGTCCATAGGGATGTGCTGGGAGGGGGTTGGGTTTTTTTTTTTTCCCCTGCTCCATGCCCAGCACCTGGATTTCTTGCAAAGGAGCCAATTCAGAGCTCAGCTTTCCCAGCTGGGAGCCAAAAACTCCCTCCTTTTCCTTTCACCCTCTGTTCTTCACAGTGTAGTGAGGATAGAGGGGGTTGAGAAATGTCCCCCCGACGTGACACTGATGTCCTTGTGCCTGCACTGATTCTTTTCCTCTCCCCCCCTGTTATTCATAGTACAGTACTGACGGGGAGGGTTGAGATTTGTCCCCCCTGACGTGGCACTGACCCTCTTGCCCCCGCCCTGTCCCCGTTGTCCCTTTAGATCGAGCAGCAGGGGGCTGTGACCCCAAAGGAGGGGAGCAAAACACGACACTGCGCCGAGAGCTGAAGCAGTTTTTCGGGTGGGTGAAGAA